AAAAAAAAATAAAAAATCAATAAAAAATTTTAGCTGCACGTTGTTGGTTATACTAAAGTTCCATGGACTATAAAACTGCATACCCAAAAATTTTCTAAAATTCAGAGTAAAAAGTTCGAAAATTAGAGGACAAAATTTTAAAATTTTTGTAAATGTTGTACATACATATATAGCTAAAGACTTTGATTTGTATTGTTTGGTTAAAGTGCAAACATAATTCTTCTTATTCAATAAAAATTTAATTTTTATTAAAATACTAAACTAGAACAAAATTATAGTTTTTATTAAAACAAGTAAAAAAAGTTATCGGTAGATATTTTCCAAAATTGGTATATTTTTTTCAAGCCAATTCTAAGCATTTTTTTGTCAGTGGCAGCCCTGTCTGTGTGTGTTCAATGAAAATTTTCGAAGAGAATTTGAGGATATTTGATTCGATATTTTAAACTCATAAAAGCATGTTCACTGACAGTTGACCCCCCGCCCGCGCTCGCGCTCTAGCCTAATCGTGAGCGAGTCTGACCAAATAGCCGGTTTAGCGCCACAACACTTGCGAGTGGCACTGCAGCTAGTCTGATTTAGTTAGTTTCGCGCTGTGAACGCGTCTAGTTGGGGCGTTTACAAAGTTAAGCGCGGTGACTTGTCTCGAGACGGCAGTCTGGCAAATGTATTGAATATCTGTAAAGTGCCTGGAAATTCTTTTGTGTTAAATAAACAGCTGAAAGACAAGTGGTTTCTTAAAGAAGTGTTTTATGCGATTTTCTTCAGAAAAAAAGCGGTGTTTAAGGCGAAAAGTGAGTTCTGCTGAAAACATAGTGAAGTGTGTATAAACTTCAGAATAATTTGAAGCCAAGGGTGGCGTGTGCATGCGGCCTTTATTGTCGCTTAATTGATGCAAATTTAATGCTTTTAGTGTCGAATTGGAAATGAAATGATGTATATATATATACATATATTTTATTTGTGCGCGTAGCAAAAAAAAAACATGTGGTCGCCGCTTTTTAAGGTCATACGCGATATTTAACTTTGGTCCATAAAGAGTGTGTTGAAGTGAAAAAATTGAATAAAATTTATATGCAAATCACTTGCAACTGACCATATTTGCCAGCGAAAATTACATTACGAATACATATTTGCATTGCCGGTGCATTTGTTTTTTTTTTTTTGCTTCCACCTCACCTGCTGAGTGATTCATATTAAGCAGGAGACACTGAGTGCATATTTTTTTGTTTTTAAATTTTCTTTAAAACAAGTTTCGTAGCGTCAAAATCGCATGCGAAAAGAGAGACACAAGTGATGAGTTACAGCTGCCAGAATGTAGGAAAATTAAAAAAAAAAAAAAAAATTGTGTCTGGGAATCTAGTTTGGCTGCGAGTGGTATAAGCTGCAAGCTACTTGACGCATTTCCAGTAAAACTGTTGCAAAAAAGTGTATTTTTGTCAGTCAACATGGCTAACAAACATGACGTTAAAATATTGTTAAGCAAGCGTTTTTGTGGCTTTGCTGACGTTAAGAGACAACTCACGATCAGTGTGGAGTCGCATATAATAAAGACACAGACGTAAATATTTAGTAATTTTTCGTTTGCTGCTCTCCCAACTTGATTAGTGTAGATATTCAACATTGTATTCGCTTGATTTTTTTTTCTGTTTTCACCTTGCATCTCCGAATCTCTTTCTTGTTGGAGTGTGGCCGACTTAAACCGGTCTTGTAATAGAGTAGCATTGCGCTTTGATTATATCATGTCACGGTTACTTGGCAGCGCAACGAATGCAAAGTTTTCTAACTGTTCCCAGTTGAACGTAAAATGTTCCCACCCTGTTTCCAAGCTCGAAAAGTTACAAATTTTATGTTTCTGTTCGTAGGATGTTAGTGGGTTTTTATTTTGCGCGAAAATGTAAATTTTTTTATTACAGACGCAAATGCATGCATGAAAAGGAAATCCAAAATCCAATGAAATGATTGGGTGCTAAGAGATTTGGATCGAATGAGTAGCGTTTCAGTGATGAACATACGAATGGAAGGAATTTAAAAATTGGAAAACACTGTACTAAATGTAGCGAGATAAAAGGAGACTATGCTGAGAAATCAAACTCTTTTTTTGCCGAAAAATATATTTCTTATTAAAAAACTAATAGCCTTTAAGATTTCCCTCGTATTTTTTGCCAAAATAAAATTAATAAATTTCGAAGCGGGAAACCCAAAAATTGTTAAAGCTTTGATAAGCTCAAAAATCGTATTATTTAGTTGGTTTCCTTAACCTCAACGAGCTGTGCGAAAAGACATGTATTTATTTACAAATGTGCAAAGATTTTTGGTCCTCAAGTACTTAGTAGCTGTTGTGACAAAAATTAGCGATTTTTTTGGGACATTCCCTTTCCGATATTTTTTCTTTTGTCTTGTATGTACACTGCCTTTCCTTTACCAAATACATATGCCTTTCTTGTTTTCTTTTGCTTCCTTTGCCATCGAGTGCTATGCACTGTTTTAATGGGCTGTCCAAAAATATTCTGAAAAACAGCTACATTCATAGCATATAGGCGCTGAATGCCTAAATTTCAGTTCATTGAACGTGTGGAACACATTCGTCAATCGTATGCTTTTACTTAAATTAATCGCATTTCCTGTACTAATTTCTTGCCTTCGTTTACTGAGAAATCGGTTCTAAGGTAGGGAAGTTTTTTTATTTCTTTGCGGTCAGCGTATTTGGCTAAAGAGTTTTTCAGGGAACATTCTGCTCATGTACTCTCTTCATCATATGCCCTTGGCTGTATGCTAATTTATAAAGTATTTTCCTTTACTGCCATTTTCTGTATTCACGTTATTTTTATTAAGTCATAATTATAAATGCAAATTAGCAACGGACATCCAAGTATGTAAATAATCTAGTTACGCGTGTAGCCATATTGGCAAACATTCTCATTTGTTTGTACTCTATTGCTATTGTTATTTAGTCACTGTAAATAGATACGCTTCACTGCTGCCATCAATTGAAATGATAATTAGAATGTTGACATAGAAACTACAATACAAAGCATTATTCAATAGCAAATAACAACAATAAAAACCCTTAAATGAAAAAAAACAATGTGGCATAAAAGTAATGTAAATAGATACCCGAAAATGGAATTTCAAATTGTGTAAGCGTAGTTAGATCGGTAGATAGGAGCGAGCTAAGCAAATTGTCGTGGCGACTTGCATTGACATTATTGATATTCGGAAAACGAGAAAAGCAATACCTTTCAGAAGCTTAATTACGTAATGAAAAAAACGGCAACCTTTTCCGATGTCGGTGCGTGTAAGCTGAAAAGAAGCTTATCTTAAAATTTTTGCGTTTATATGACATACCACATGAAGATAGGTTATATAACAACAAACTGTTCCCGAGTTTGAGTATTGAGCACATACAATAAACTGTTACCGAAATAAAATTAACTTATTTCGAATGAATTTAACTGTTCCCACATGAAATTAATTTTTCTCAAATAAATATAACTGCCTTCAGTTGGAGGATTTTTATTTCGCGGTCAGTTGCTTAGATGTTGTCTGATATTATCAGTCGTGAAGAATTTTTTGTGTTTGTATTTTCCTTTTCTACCCATCCTCATCAGATCGTGGGTACACATATGTGCACCCTAAATTATTCAATTTGTAACAAATAGCGACAATTTGTGGTCACTTCTGGTACTCGTGCTACTCCCTATAGGTTAATGAGCAGGGAACGGATTTTTAGGACCTAAAAACCTATAAAAAAGGCAAAATAAAGTAACGAAATAGGCTGGAAATGGCAAAATAAAATAGCAAAAAAGGCAGGAAAAGGCACTAGGTATTGCAAAAAAGGCAAAAAAGGCAAAACAAAATAGCGAAAAAGGCAGGAAAAGGCAAAAAAAAGGTATTGCAAAAAAAGCAAAATAAGGCACTAAAAAAAGACAGAAAATACGAAGAACAATCAAAAAATATATTTATTTTAGAAATACTTATATTACAAGTAAAAAGAGAAAAACTATCAACTAGTTTCATTATATGAAAAATTTGTACTTTGAATCTTTGACTATTTTATCCTTTCGAGTTTCTAACTCATAAAACTTTAATCTGTGTAGTTGTAGTAATATTGAACCATAAGATGCATTTTGAAGTTTTCTGGCAGCATTTTCATTCGATTTTCGCGAAGAAAAGCCTTGAATGTACTAAATGTGCGCTCGACGTAAGTTGATACAAGTGGAGCCCAATTTAAATATGGAACGTTTGAAACGTTCATATTATCAGAAATAAGGGCATTTTCCTCGCCCTTTACAATTTTACCCACACTCCTTATTGTCTTCAAGCCTACGTTAGCTGAGAAAACGGCTTTGAATTTTTTCAACATCAATTTGGCGAGAGGTCCCTGTGCTTCCATAAGCCGCATGGGCATGTGTATATTTTTTAATCTTAAAAAAAAATTGTAAATGCTATAATCACTTTTTTAAAGGTAGAAAGGCAAAAATCTTAAAAAAGGCAAAAAAAGGCAACTTCAAATGTGTATATATGGAATCAGGGAAAGCTAAATCGTGGACATTCTTAATCGAATATACTATATCTCTTTAGCAGAAAAAAAAGCAATTTCCATAAAATCCGTTCCCTGTTAATGAGCTTCCAAAAATATTAAAAAATAAGAAAAATATACATATAAAAATATATAAAAGAGTAAAGAAATAAATTATTTATTAGCTGTTTGAGTTTCAGGTCAATTGATGAATTGGCGAACTGTGGTTCTTTGGAGCGGCGCAAAATTTTAGGACCTAGATTAGTGCGAACTAATTAGGCTCCTAAGCCGTTGGTGCAATACTGCCACCCGAAAAACAACCAGGTGTTTCCTGAAAAGCCCAGACAAGATGGTGATGAGGCTACGAGCCATATGGTCCCCATGAGTGTCACCGATAAAGCACTGTGTACGTCTTGTTTAGAATATGAGAATAGTACTGATGCATTTCTATGCACGGCGTCAAGTCTTTTCCAGACTGATATGGTATATTTTTGGGTTAAATGTATTGAGAATGAACGAGCTACACATTCTCTTTCCCTCGACAAACTACCACGATTCATAAAACCGTATGGTAAGTTTTCAGAGGAGTAATGAATTCCCGTGCCTAAGTACATTGGGCAATATGCCTAACTGCTTGGTAAAAAATCTCAAGTCATTCCATTAGTACTTTAGAAATTATGCCAGATTTTTAAAAATTGCTTCTCAAAAATGTGAAATTAATGTTTTATTTATATAATGTAATTTATATATACTTCTAAAAAGTTTTTACTTAACTTCTTGGCGTGCAATTCGATGCTTTCCTATAATTTGATTTAATTGAAAAACTGTTCCTAGCTCATGAAAATACTCTTATTGCGATAATTTGGTATTCTTACGAGTAAAATGTTCTAAAGTAAATTTTAGTAGTTTTAAAAACTGTTCCCAGATTATCCAAACTGTTCTCAGGCCAAACACTTCTTCAAATTAAGTTTTATTTTTATAAAATGGTTATTTAGCGGTTATAATTAATATTCTATACAAAACATAATTGTATACGGCGTTTTATTGCTCAAATGCTAAATTTTATTTATATTTAAGTTGTGGTGATGTAAAATTTTAAGCCTCATAGTAATCTCGCTTGCTAGATAAAGCGCCGAAAAATTTGTAAAAACTATTATTAAAATTTGCTGTATCAATGCCAACCGCTTTATGAGCAGTCAGGGTGACATTGCTGCCACCAACGCATTGACTTAAAAAATTCTAAATTATTTTTTATGTTGTTTCCGTTCGTTG